ATATATATATATATGATAGCATATCATGAACAAGATGAATAATTATCAATGCATGAATGAAACTCACTCAGAAAACTGACAATTTCAGACATGATTTTCAGTCAGATCACTTGTGCAACACTAATCTCCACTCGCTTTGTTGTCGCAAATGCATATTTCATTTGCATGAGTTTAAACTTCTAGTCTTTCCATCTTCAGTTTTTGTTGGTTTATAACCCTAATGTGGTGAGGACATCATCCCACCGCTGCAGTCTCGAATGTTTGTGGCTCCTAGTGCAAGAAAAGCAGGTTTTAGTGGCTGGGGTGGAGCCATTTATTTATTTATTTTTTGCCACAGAACGGCACCAGAACTGGCATCTTGATGGTGAAAAAGGGGCAATCAAGGGCTATCTTGAACACAAGAGGGTTTTACAGAATCACTGAGCCTGTCATGAGCAGGTCACCTTACCAGAGCGAGAGAGAGAAAGAGAGCCTGTCCTCTTCTGCTGGATTTTCTCTTTGATAACTGAGGTAAATCCTCCAGCAGACTCTAATGGAGTGAGTGAACCTTAGATAAAGACTCGCTCTCTCTTTTCCATCTTTGTCATGCTATATTTCTCTCCCCTATTTTTGCTGCTGAGTCCTTGGACAAAAGAGGAGCACAGGACAAAATATGAAAGGATTATAGCTTTTTCCTTCCTCTTAAAGAAGGATGTGAAAATAGCGCACACACACACACTCAAACACACACACACACACACACACACACTAAAACACACACACATACACACACACACACACACACACACACACGTTGCTGATATTCATCAAACATTCTGGGTTGAGTTTGATCCAAACCCCTAAATATTTCTAATATATAAATATAGGTCTACTTTCTTCAGCAATTCATTCAACGTGAACCTCTTAACTCACAGACTCGATTCAAACGTTCAGACATGCGTTAATGGAACGTCCAGCGTTCCAAATGTAACGGGCAGCGATGATGTCATTTGTAATATTTGTGTGTTTGCGTAGTGAACTGTGATTGTCTTCCCGTTCTATTGAAAGACTGTGTCATCTTGTGTGTTGACTTTTGTGCACAGCTGAAAAATAATAAAACACATGCTGAGAGTCGCACACAGAATGTCATTTACACTTAAATTAAAACTTCAGTTAATTTTAAATGTAATACTATTCCTTTGCTTTCATGCAAACAGAGTTGTTTATTTTAAAATTATAAATATATTTTAGCAGGAAAACTCTGCTGGGCACAATGGGAATGATATTAGGTCAATTATGATTTTTTTTTTGAATCATTCATTCACCTGATTCGTACAAAAACCGTGATTCATTCAGGAACGAAACACCATTAAGTGTTGATCGGTATCCCAGCGGTTTTGCTGGAAATATTTGCATTGGTGAAGCAAAACACACCAAACAACTGGCAATATTATGTCTAACATCAGTTAGCTAAAACGATTCAACTTCTCAAGGCTATGATTCAAACTTAGAGGAAAACTGCTGTGTATATACATACATATGCATATTCACACAGTGCTTTATTTGTAATTCTCTCTGAGTCTTGAACCAACACACACACACACACACACACACACACATGCAAACACACACACACACACACACAAACACACACACTCAAACACTCACAGTGTGTGTAATTTAAATGTAGATTGCTATGCTCCAGCACTCACACACACACACGCACACACACATACACACACTATCTGATGTGATCTAGTATTCTCTCTCATTCCGCCTGCAGACTTCTACAGTATAAATAATGGAGCAGACAGAACACACTTTCCCTTTCAGACCTCTGCAAAGTCCTTACACAACACGCTGTCACACACCTGCTGCTGCACGGCTTCAAATCAGCCTCTTTTAATTTCCAAACGCTAAAACACAGCAATAGTTCGTTCTCCCCTTCAGCACCGTGTTTGTAGACTGCTGTTGAGTGTCAAAACTACTGTCACTTACACCAAATAAATCAATATCATCTCAAAAAACCACAACCGCAATGTGTTTGTCGGAAAGTTTTGAAGCTCCAGCTCCCTCATTCGGTTTGATGCTGTGAGCTGAATCTCAGATTGAGTGGGTCATGTAAAGGCTGTGTAGAGTTATATGTGTTGTGTAGGGATTGTGCTTTGAAAAAAAAAAAAGGATTTGTTGGCACATACCTCACAAACGTTCAGCCTCGGAATAAAAAAGGTAATTGCGACTTTTTGTCTCAACATTCTGACTTTATTTCTGGCAAAGTTCAGGTAACATCCTGCAATTCTGATTAGTTTTTTTCTCTCAGAAATCTTGCAATTCAAACTCTCTTATTCAAAATTGCAAGTTTTAAAGGGGTCATATGATGCTATTTTAAAGATCATTATTTTGTGTATTTGGTGTAACAGAATATGTTGACATGCTTTAATGTTCAAAAAATTCTGATTTTATTTCTAGCAGTTCAGATTTATGTCTCATATTTTGAGTTAACATCTTTGATTCTGTTATTGCACAACTAAACCATCAACACAGAATCAAAGATGCATAAAAGCACAAGCTTTTGAACTTTCTCAGAGATTATGCTCAATTAGTATTGTAATTCTCACAGTTTAGAGTTTATTTATTGCGATTTTGAGTTAACTTTTCGCACTTTGAACGTTTATTTTTTCCTCATAATTGCAAGTGTATAAATGCGCAACTCTTATTTCATTTCCCACAATTCCAAGTCGATATCACAAAATTGTTTTGATTTAACGCCTCGAAATTCAAATTCGAACACTATATGTCTTTCAATTTGATTTATAACACTTAATTCTGTCTTAGTTTCACACAATTTTGATTTTGCAGTTTGAACTAACCCTCTCAGAATCGCGAGTCTGTGTCGTGCAAAATTACTTTATTTTTTTTACGATTCTGAATTCGTATCATGCATTTTTCAGTTTTACATCTCTTTACACCCTTTTTTCCCCTCAGAATTCCTCTGGAGTCTGCAGATTCCATTTCATATTCATATTGATGCACAAAATCACATATTACATTCACAAAATTATTATTTCTTACCGTTTCACCAGGCCGGGATTGGCCATCAGGAGCGCTGGGAGAAATCCTGATGGCCCAGCGATTTATTTATTTATTTATTTACTTAAAAGTCACAGTTACCTCGTTTTTTAATCGATTTCATAGATTGGAGCTTTGCATATTGAGAATGTTATTGATCAGACGGTTCGGTGGACTGTCGGAGATTCAGGATCTCATGGGTTTGTTCTAGCTGTCAGAAACGTTTAAGGGTTTTTGAGGAGACTGATATGGTTTAGACAGAATCGAAGACGTATAAAAGCACAAGCTCTGCTCAGGACGAGTGAGGTGTTGTGAAGCGTCTCTGTGTTTCTCTCTCAGGTGCGTTTGCTGGTGGAGTTGGTTTGGCCTCTGTTCCTGTTCATCATTCTCGTGTCGGTCAGATCCACCAATCTTCCGGTTTATAAAAGCCAGTGTGAGTATTGCTCGACTTCAGTTGCTCCCAGCAACATTACACGCATGTTTTTTTTGTTTTTTTTCATGGAAAACATTTATTAAATGTTCTGAAGTTCTGAATAAATTTACCTGCAGTAAACTTTCTTTGATCCACGACTCTGTGTAAGTTTTGATGGGTGCATTTTGTGAAGAATATTGATTTATATTGGCAGAAAATACTTGTTCAGTGGATCTGTGAGGTGACAGGCTCCACACGAACGATAAAACACTTGAAAAAGCTATAGTTACACACCTAATGCACATGTTACATTAGAGCGAAATAAGCTTTCTGTGTTTGTCAGTGAAGTGAAGAGAAAGAGAGAATCTGTTGTAGTGATGAACCAAAATTCATTATTTCACTGAAACACCAAAACCGAAATTAAACTTTTAATTTAGCAAAAACCAAATCAATTATTTAAATTTGTTTAGCAATCAACACTCAAATAAAAATAAATAAGTTAAGTATTTAAATTGCACTTAATGCAGTTTTCATGTCAATGTTTTAATGATATAATTATGTTTCAATTCCAGTTCATTGTTGAAATATAAAGATAAAAAGATAAAAAAAAATGTATGTATAGATAATACATTTAAATGGCTTTAATTACAGGTTCGACATGTAAAATATAATTAATATATAAAACATTAAAGTGCACCAAATACAACATTTATCCTTTGAATTTCAAGGTTGAGTATCAGAAGTTAGAAAACAAAAAAGCGTTTTTTTGGATGTCGTGCAGTACAAATAACGTTTAGTGAAGTTTTGGTGATTTATCAAAAACTAAAATATCTTGCTTTGTCAAAATTATTAAAATCAATTACTACTGCTGTTGAATTGCTTGAACGACATCAGAATTATGATTTGCAAGCAGGATGCATAAAATAAAAAACAGTAATTGTGAATCTTTGCTTCCTCGCAGGCCACTACCCCAATAAGCCCCTCCCATCGGCAGGTGTGTTGCCATGGCTACAGGGCATGCTGTGTAACATACAGAACCCGTGTGTGAGCTCCCCCACACCGGGCGAAGCACCTGGACAGGTGAACAACTTCGACAACTCCACGTGAGTGTCACACCAGCACCGTTCACTTAACGTCAATCACAGCGTTTTCTGTCATTAATCACGATAAATAAACTAAAATAAACTAAAATGTAATTGCATAATGGTTAAATTGCTTAAATGTTTCTCAATTTATTAAATAGTATTTAAACTTAATACATTAAAGTATGTTTAAGCTTATTGACACATTGAATCTCTAAATGAATGGAGAACCAACATATTGAATGCATAATAATGCTTTTCGTAAATCATTTATTAAAAGTATATTCAGTTCTATGTAAACTTCATTTATTAAATAGTAATTTAAGTAATCTGTTTAATGATATCATAAATGTTTATTTACACAACAAATCTCTAAATAAATCTAGACCCAACACATAAGCATATCACTGAAAAAAAAAATATTCATTGAATTTACTCAATTTTACTCAAAGGTAAGTGGTTGCAATCAATTTATTTTAGCTACATTTAAACAAACAAATTTAGTTGACTAACTTTCAACATGTTTTTATTTTTTAAATGTAGCTAAAATAAATTGTTTGCAACCACTTACCTTAAAAAAAAATTGTATCATTTTTTTTTTCAGTGTAGTAATTGAATTACAATTTAAATTGCTTTATTTTATTATTTATATATTTAAATATATTTATTTAAATGCATTTCGTAAATAATTTATTAAACAGTATGTTGAATTCCATGTGAATTAAATTGATTATATTATAGATATTTAATAAAGAATAAAATAAATAAATTATAAAACTATATAAATATATGTATTTAAATAATTTATTATATATAAATAATTTATTATATAGTACATTTAATTCCATGCAAACTTAATTTATTAAAATATGTTAATATGTGACCCTGGAGCACAAAACCAATCATAAGGGTTAATTTTTCGAAATTGAGATTAATGCATCATCTGAAAGCTGAATAAATAATCTTTCCATTGATGTATGGTTTGTTAGGATCGGACAATATTTGGTCGAGATACAACTAATTGAAAATCTGGAATCTGAGGGTGCATAAAAATCTAAATATTGAGAAAATCGCCTTTAAAGTTGTCCAAATGAAGTTCTTAACAATGCATATTACTGTAATTATTATGTATAGTGGCACATTTTAACTTGACGCTGTTGAAGCATTCATCTCTAAATTCTCTGTTTCTGTGTATTTATTTGTTTCTTTCTTGCGTTGGTTTAGAGTCACTAAGGTTTTGGTTGAAGTGCAGTCGCTCCTGGCGGATCCCGCTCTCTTCAGCAGCGTCAAACTGATCTCTGAGGATATCGGCCGATGGACGTCTGTCCTGGAGAATGCAAACCCAGCCGCAGGTGAACGCCTGGCTTTACTTTTCAAAACGTGCCGATGTTTTACTGAACATTTCGGTGTATTCGCCTGCTGATCTGGTTTTGCTGGTTACTGTTCAGTTTGGAGGACCTACTAGACCAGTTCAAATCATCGCAGACCAGCTTAGGCTGGTTTAAGCTGCTTTTTTTCCCCCTCCAAGCACAGCTTCCCGTTTAGGTAGGACTGCTGGTATAAACGCTTCAGAGATCCCAGTCCGGCTGTTTTGTTCATCAAACTCATCAACACATGAAGCAATCGACAGCATTTCCCCAGTAGTATGACACTCATGCACTGTGAGTAATCAAACGTGGGCTTTTGAGAGTCATTATTAGATCATCATCATCAACTTTCATAATGTCTTTAAAATAAAAATAAAAATAGAGGCAAATGAGTCAGCTGTTGACTTGCAGGAAGAGTTTAGATTTATAAAATTAATGTGCATCAGATATACATTTCAAATTAAAATTATGCCATTGAATTGTTAAAATATAAAAAATGCATTCAAATATTATTTAAATGACTATTTAATATGTATTTAATAAACTTTATAAAAAAAGTTTAAATGCAAATATGATATGCATTTATACATTTAATCTAATTAAATAGAAATGCTGTAATGATTTAGATTGGACAACATGCATTTTTTAATCATAGAAGTTAAGTTATTATTTTGTTTTCTAAATATAATTTTGAGAAATTTCTCTTCAAAGCAACTTAGTTTTACTTGATTATCCAGACATAAAATGTGAGTCTCAAATATGATCATCAGGCTTTTGAGGAGCGTTTCTTTGTTCATCTCTCATCTATCATTGAATTGCATTGCATTATATGTATGTTATAAAGATCTCATTGATTTACATTACAATACATACAAATTAAATGATCAGAAGAGTCTCCTTCCACCTGTCACAGTTGCCTACTGAGAGGAACGAGGAGAACGCAGGAGAATCTCGATCAACAGTTTTTTAATAATCCAAACGGGGTATACACAGGGCAAGCAGGAACAAACGAGTAGCACAACGTTGGACGATAGACACCGGACACCGAAACCAGGAACAGACACACTTTATATACATAACTAGACGAGGGACTCAATGAGGAACACCTGAAACAAATGAACATAATCAGAACACGAGAGAAACTGGGTCACGGGGCGCACATGGGGAGGAAAACAAACACACTGACAGTCCATGGGCGTGATATATCGCCCCCCTGCTGGAAGGCGCGTCCTCGTGCCATAGAAACCACATAGGGAGGGCTGGGAGGGAACTTGGGAGGAGGCTCGGGAGGAGGACGACAAACATAGTCCAGGGTGGAGACGACGGAGGGAGGAGCCAGGGAGATGACAGGAGGAACTTGGAGCAGGAGGAGCCAGGCGGGACCCAGGCCACAGCCATGATGATGACCCATGGTGGAGCCGACGGAGGGACAGAACACGAAACTGGGTCACGGGGAGCACATGGGGAGGAAAACAAACACACTGACAGTCCATGGGCGTGACACCACCTTAAACATCCTAGTAATTGTTTAATTTTATTTTAAATGAATTTTTTTTTTATCTTTAATTTTGTTTTTGTTTCATTTATTTTTATTTTATTACTCATTTTATTTATTATTGTATTATTGTATTATTATCATATTTATGCAGTTTTATGTTATTTATATATTATAATTTATTCATTTTTATTTTGTTGATTTTGTTTTTTTTTGCTGTTTAGACTACAAAAATAAACAGCAATATGTGTAATAGCCAAACATCAGTTTTTATTATTATTTTTTTATTTACTGTTTTTTATTTATTTATTTATTTATGCATTTTTGTATTTATTCATGTATTTTTATTTATTATTTTTTATTTTGTTTTGCCGTTTAGACAACATGTTTTAGAAGGAAAAAAAACTAAGTCTTACTTTATAAATATCAGCATTTTCACCGAATCGTATATTTCTGCTTAATTTGAGTCTCTGGATATTCTCACTATATTATAATATATGAGCAACAAAAGCCTGATGTATCAAATGTGATGCCTAACAAAAACTCACATGCAAACTTAAAAAAAAAAAAATAATTACAAAATATTCTGTCTAATGTTTCGGTAAACAGATTTTTCTGACTATTATTTGACATGTCAGGCTGAAATATCGCCCCGTCCTCCACTGTGGTTATATTCGTGTTTTACAGACACTCTTGTTGTTGATTCGGAGGAGCAGGTCGTATATCTTGCTGATGTTTGTTTGTACCGTTTAGTCTAACAATATTCAGATTTGAGAGGAAGCTCATTTGCAAATAGGCCGTGGAGCGTTGAGTTGTCGGGCCCCGGTCACCGCCGCCGGCCGCATTTGCATTCGGGGGCCGTGAACTTCTATTATACCAGATTAAATTCAACAGGAGATCTGAGAGAGAGAGTAATTAACTCACAACGCTGCCAGAGACTGTCCGACAGAAGCGACCAATCAGAGGGCAGGGTGACGCATGTATGATGAAGGTGCGAGTCGATGACTCCACTCTGTGTGTGTGTGTGTGTGTGTGTGTGTGTGTGTGTGAGTGTGAGTGTGTGCGCGTTTTTGTGACATAGTGTTTGTGTGTGTTTGTTTGTTTGTTTGTGTGTTTGTGTGTGTGTGAGTGTGTGTGTATGTGTGTGTGTGTGTGTGTGAGTGTGAGTGTGAGGATGAAGTGTGTGTGTGTGTGTGTGTGTGACCTGCCAGGTTTGTGTTGGAGAGGATTGTTGAGATGAACACAGATATTCAGAGTGTAATGACACGCTCTCGTTAATCAGCGCCGCTGTCTGATATCCTGCCACTCATTAGCGCAGCTCTAGAGGTATTATCCAGCTCGGCTTTCTCTGTTTTCACCGGCGCTCTTTGATGTGCTTTACAGCAGCTTTCTTCAGAGCGCAGTCAGACCTCCATCCGGCCTCGGTGTGCAAACACACACGCTTTCATACGCCTAATTGGCTTTCATGGTTTTTGTGTGAGTGTGTGGGAGGAATTCTTGCACGAGGACAAAACAGTGTGTTGCATTATAGCTAAATGAGCCTTTAACGGGCTAACACATGTTTAATAAGCCACATCCACTCCTTCAATCACAAACTCAATTTACCCAGAGTCGCCCGCCGCAGTACAGATTCACACCACGTCCAACAATCAGGAACATGTACAATTTGTTTTGAAATAAATTAATAATTTAATTCACCAAGGATGCATTAAACTGATCAAGAGTGACAGTAAAAAACATTTATAATGTTACAAAAGATTTATATTTCAAATAAATGCTGTTCTTTTGAACTTTCTATTCATCTGTGAATCCTGAAAAATAAAATGTATCACGGTTTCCACAAAAATATTGTGCAGCACAACTGTTTTCAACATTGATAATAATCAGAAATGTTTCTTGAGCAGCAAATCAGCATATTAGAATGATTTCTGAAGATCATGTGACACTGAAGACTGGAGTAATGATGCTGAAAATACAGCTTTGATCACAGAAATAAATTACATTTTACAATATATTCACATAGAAAACAGTTACTTTAAAGTTGTAATAATATTTCACAATATTACTGTGTTTTTGCTCAAATTAATGCAGCCTCGTTGAACATAAGAGACTACTTTAAAAAGCCTATTAATTATTGAATTATGTTTTATTTGTTTTTATTTTTATTTAATCTATTATCTTATCTTTATTTTTGTTTTATTGTTTTTGTTTTTACTATTTGTTTTATTTATTATTATTTATTTATCTATCTATTTAAACATTTTTATTATTATTTATATTTTTTAATGTATGAATTTGTGTTTTTGTTTGCTGTTTAGACTACAACAAAATAACTAACAGCAATATATATATGCATTATATTTATTCATGTATTTTCTGCTGGTGTACACACACACACACACGCACACATGCACGCACACACACACACACACACACGTCGATTCCGCTTCACAGTTTGCTGAGAACCAACGAGACGTTTTCTGAATATCTGACGAACAGCCTTTTGGTGCCAAACACAACTGCCGCGAGCCTGATGAGGGCCAGAGTCCGGCTCGGTCAGGTACGTCATCCAGAGACAGACGGAGAGGGGCTGTGTGTTTAGTGCGGACTGGAGGAGATCCAGCTTCCCTGAGAGGCCCGACGCTCGCTGATCCACCAAAACCCCTGTTTTACCTCCGCAATGAAGCCAGATTCAGACTCATCTGAACTTCAAACGCAAGACACAGAAGCCACGACCATTTGTTACAAGATTCAACATGAATCATCAGCTGTTCAGCATTTCAGCTGTACAATATATCAGTTTGTTCATTTGTAAAACCGAAGAAATTCAAAGGTTGCCTTCTCTAGACTGACTTCGATCTTTGATAGCAGCTGGCCATATAATCGATCTCTTAAAATGTTATATAAATTGAAATATGTGTGTCTGTGGTGTTGTTTAATGTGCTGCAGCTGCCTGCGCTGTCGGCTGATGGAGATCTGCGCTCGGTGCTCTGCGGCCCGTCGGCCGATCGCATCCTGGACTTTAATTCAGCCAATCAGAAAGAGGAGTTTCAGAACATCACATGCTCCCTGACAGCCAATCAGCTTCTTCAGGCCAGACGAGTCTTCATGCAGAATCTGGACAACATCAAACTCCTGAACGCAGTGAGCGACGCCCCTTTATTTCTATGACTTTTTCATGTTTTATGATTACATTTACAAAAAAATACATCAATCAATCAATCAATCAGTCAATCAATCAATTAAAATAAAAAAATAAAAAAATAAAAAATAAAAAAAT